TTCTATTCTAATTTGCTAGGTTTCAGGTATTTATAATCCCCCCTGGGTCCGCCACTGCAAATTATTGTCCAAGATTTTTTGAAATGTATCGTTGAAATAAAATAAATGTGTAACAAAAAGTAAATAAAGTTTGTTTGTTGATTTTGTGCCGCGCTAACGGAGTAACATTCCAACCTGCAGCTGGGCACTGTTTAACATTTTGACCTTTGATTCGGCACTCTACATAGTATGTATATATACCATTCCGACCTGAGGCTCAGCACCGTTCAACATTCAAGTACGGATTTCGGCACTCCGCATTAATTGGCGGTCCGAATTCAAACGGACCATATATATAGCCTAGGTGCCGAATCCTATACCGGAATGTTTAGATGCGCCCGGGACACATCTATCATGCATTCTTCCGTTCCAACTCCGATCATACAATCAAGGTCCTTATTCTTGGAACAGGGGAGCAGCGAAACACGCGTTCTCCTAGAAACGCTGCTCTCTGTTCCAAGAATAAGGACCCTGATTGTATGATCGGAGTCGGATCGGAAGAATGCATGATAGATGTGTCCCGGGCTTTAGCCGCTTTCCAGCTGTGTGCTTCAAGCACGGTGCAGCACAGTGTTCTGTGTTTGAAACCCAAAAGTTATCGCTCTCGAAACGCAGTACGGCTGGAACACGAACACGCGCTTGAAGCATTTGCGCGCGCAAAAGCTCGATTGCGTGCTCAAAAGCGTCAGCAGGAAAGCGGCTGTTGTCAGTCCATATTTTTATTTTTTGACAATATGGCAAACGTTGTCAAATTTCAAAAAGCGTTATAACCAATGAACGCTAAAACTGGAATGCGCACACATTGCCATATCTGCCAAAAAAATGAAGCCATGAAAGACAGATGCCACAAGGGGGAATGTTGTTTTCTTCTGTTGCTCGCTGACATATGACGTTTTCGAAAGTTTTGTCATATTTCCCTTCACAGGTTTCATCAATTGGAATCAGGGATGTGCGTCTACACGTAGACTTTAATTGTCTACTTTACGTGTAGACAATGGTAGACAATGTAGACAACGTGTCAACAATGTAAAATAATATAAATGACGTCTAATTCTAACCTCACACTTTCCTTTCCGAAAATTATTTTTATTTTATTATCGATTTTCCTCATATTTATAATCAGTGAATGCTGATATCAAAGTGATAGGTATTAGCTACTTGGGTAGTAGTAGTTTTCAGTGTTGTTCAAAGGGCACAATTGTGCCAAAAGTGGCACTTTTAAGTGGCACTTTTGGCCCGCAAAATGCACGGTGGCACCACTTTGAAAAATTTGGCACGATTCTCATTTATTAGATATTATCATTTTCAAATTTTTAAGATGAGAAACACTAGAGCTGGAGCAGGATTTTCTGTTTATTTTTATTCTGTAATTGCATCTGCAAGCAAAAAACGCAAATTTTGACGGACGTCACATGACCACTTATCTTTTTTCACGTGTCAAATGACGTGAGATCTGTCAAATGTTGCTCATTTTGCTCGCAGTTGCACCCAACCAACATCAAATTCTGGGATACTCGAGGATCAAGAACACTTAATTTTTTCTGTGAGAACAGACCGAATATCACCTTTTCTACATTTAAAATCGACAAAAAAATTAACTCATAGCACAGCTAGAATCGCAAGCATTCCATCCAGGTCTGCGGGTGACTTCATCGCTATAAGCTGCTGATAGTGACCTCACTCGCAGACCCAAAATTTCATAGAAAGGGAGTTAGGGGAGTATGACACAATTGACACATTACACATTACATAACCCAGCATACCCGAGTATGCTTGATTATCCTTGCCAATTATATCTTACTTCTTTTAATCATGTGATAAAAAGAAATGGGTAAAAAGTCAAAAAACCCTCTCCCATCACTTTCTATTAAGTGGCACTATTTGGCCCTATTTGAGTGGAGTGTTGCTGCAGGCTGCAGGCACACACGAAAATTCCCCAAGAACAACCCTGGTAGTTTTGGATCTTTTTTTGAATTTTCTAAAATGGGTTTATTGTTTACGCCACATGTAGACAAATGCCCACGTAAACAATTCGAATTGTCTACGCGTAGACAATCAATTGTTTACGTTGACATTGTCTACAGGCACATCACTGATTGGAATACGTGTTGGAAGCAATTTTCGCCATTTAACATAATGAGTGCGACAAAAACAGGTGTCCCCTCCGCAGCAGCCGCACCAGGCTTCACGTTCGTCCTTGTGTTCGCATTCCAGTTTTTTGTTATAGTTCATTGGTTATAACCAATGAACTATAACCAAAAACTGGAATGCGAACACATATTGGTTATAACCAATGAACTATAACCAAAAACTGGAATGCGAACACATATTGACGAACGTGAAGCCTAGTGCCGCTGCTGCGGAGGGGATACCTGTTTTTGTCGCACTCATTATGTTAAATGGCCGAAAGTGCTTCCAACACGTATTCCAATTGATGAAACTTGTGAAGGTAAATATGACAAAACTTTCCAAAACGTCATATGTCAGCGAGCAACAGAAAAAAACAACATTCCCCTTTGTGGCATCTGTCTTTCATGGCTACATTTTTTTGGCAGATATGGCAATGTGTGCGCATTCCAGTTTTTGACTATAGTTCATTGGTTATAAGGGTGGGTATTATAAAACTGCTTTGAGAGTTAACTTGAAGTTAACTTCTGGAATTACATGTAATTCAAAAAGTTAACTTCAAGTTAACTGTCAAACCAGTTTTATAATACCCGCCCTAAGTATAACTAAGTGGCGTTTTCCATTTTCCATCCTTTTTTCTTCAAAAAGGCTGCAAATTACATATGGGAAGTACCGTTATTCTAGAAGTTAACTTTTAAGTTAATTGTTAAAAAATTTTATAATACCCACCCTTAAGCCTAGTCTCCATAGACGCGAAATCGCGGAAAGCGAATTTTTTAAGTGTCATTTTTTGGTGGCTATTTCCGAGCAAATTATTCCCATGTCTCCATAAGCGCGAAATTCGCGTTTTATTTAACAGGTTAAGGTTACCTATGTGTTGTTGTTTGTAATCAATTTGAATTCGATTTAAATGCTTTGAATTTCAAACACTAATCTTTGAAAACCATGAAAGTGATTACTAAAAAACAAAAAAAGATATGTGTCTTGGTGTTGTCTTACCGTGCGTTCGTTATTTTGGTCTGAGTTCTCCGAGCTTGACTTTACCGTTCGTTTATTTGAAAAGTGTACTCGGTGCAGCCTCATTCGCGTTCGTTTATTAAAATTTCTGGCACTTTTATACAGCGTTCAACTACTCTGTTCGCTCGCTGGTCACGTGATTACGGCTCCGCTCAGCACGCTCTGCTCTTTGAGCAAAATACCGAACGCAAGGTTAATTACATTTAAGGCCCTATTATAATCTTCCTCATCAACCAGCAAGCTGTAATTTATGTCTGTTTTCGGGTCTACAATATTCAATTCTTTGGCAGTATCCATTCTTTATTAGGTATCTACAAGTACAAAACACATCAACGACTCACAGAGAACAGAGCACATACCGACAAAAACATAAACAAAAGTAAACTAAACTGAAAGTAACACCACATAACCTCATTTTTTTTTGGCGAAATTTCGCGGAAAGTTAAAAAATAGTTAACTTTTTTGCGACGCCGCAAGAAGTTAAAAAATTCGCGAATTTTTCCCGCCATAAAAAAATCAAATGTTAAATGTCAAATTCCAACCAATCGGAAAATATCCGCAAAAAAAAATTCGCGATTTCGCGTCCATGCATAACTGCGAAATTCGCATTTTTTTGACATTGCTTCGACAATTTGACGTTTGATACACGCATAAAACGTCAAATTGTCAACGCAATATCAAAAAAATGCGAATTTCGCAGTTATGAGTACTAGGCTTTAAGCCTAGTCTCCATGGACGCGAAATCGCGAATTTTTTTTTGCGGATATTTTCCGATTGGTTGGAATTTGACATTTAACATTTGATTTTTTTATGGCGGGAAAAATTCGCGAATTTTTTAACTTCTTGCGGCGTCGCAAAAAAGTTAACTATTTTTTAACTTTCCGCGAAATTTCGCCAAAAAAAAATGAGGTTATGTGGTGTTACTTTCAGTTTAGTTTTGTTTATGTTTTTGTCGGTATGTGCTCTGTTCTCTGTGAGTCGTTGATGTGTTTTGTACTTGTAGATACCTAATAAAGAATGGATACTGCCAAAGAATTGAATATTCTAGACCCGAAAACAGACATAAATTACAGCTTGCTGGTTGATGAGGAAGATTATAATAGGGCCTTAAATGTAATTAAGACAACACCAAGACACATATCTTTTTTTGTTTTTTAGTAATCACTTTCATAGTTTTCAAAGATTAGTGTTTGAAATTCAAAGCATTTAAATCGAATTAAAATTGATTACAAACAACAACACATAGGTAACCTTAACCTGTTAAATAAAACGCGAATTTCGCGCTTATGGAGACATGGGAATAATTTGCTCGGAAATAGCCACCAAAAAATGACACTTAAAAAATTCGCTTTCCGCGATTTCGCGTCTATGGAGACTGGGCTTTACTCTATCGAACCAATTACAAATCGTCAATTAGTCAGACTTGCATTTTATTCGCTCTGACTGGTTTGTGATTTCTGCAGAAGACCTAGTACATTTCGTACACGAAATTTGACTGACAGCAATGTAAATTAAATGGGGAGCATTCGAAATCGTATCAAATTTCTTAAGAGACGGGAATATTCGAAAATACGACCCCTGATCCTGTTCTTTCCAAAGGTTCTTTCAAGCACAGCACAAGTGATCAGGATCAGTTGCGAGCGGTCGAAAGGGATAATTGTTAGAAAGGATACACCTGGGATAATGAACTTACGCCATGTTGGATAAATTTTCACAGGTCGTGGGTCGTTGGAATGCCTAATTACGCATCATGTAAATGCGGCTAAAATCTGTCACCAAACGCAAAATGTCGCCGGTCATCTGTCACTGCTTGCAGTTATCTGTCACTTCACTGGTCGCTACTGTCACTACTCACTCCACTTCACAGGGTCGCTGCCTGCGCCGTTAAAAAAAACGCTACCAAAAATTAAAACCCGCAGTCTTGTGCAGGCAGTGGTTTTCTTTACAAAAAATTGTGAAATTTTGAATCAGCCACTACTGGTAAATATCTTATTTATTAGTAATTTTAAAACACTTAGCTAGGGCCTTTATTTAAGAGCGCTTATTCAGTGAACATAGCTTTGAAACTACAGTTAATGGAGTACCAGAGTATCACCATCCATTGTTTAAACATGGCATTTTTTTCCCTCCGAAAACTTTTTTCCTAATCCCATTTGCTATCCCCAGAATGTAGGTTTTCCTCAGAATTTTCACATATATCAGTTTGACAATAGGCTGATGCGCTAGTGGAGCTTCTTTCTTGGCTGGAATTGAAGCTGCTTTCAGCTGAGAAATATTCATCACTTGGAGTCTCAGGTTTAAAGTTCTCCTCATTGTGAGTTTCATCCATATTGGGATTGGGTATTGAAAATTTTTTGGCTTGGGGTTTCGGTTTTGGATCTTCTACTGGTGTTTCTTGGGCTCCTGAGGGCTCAGGGTCTTTGCTTTGAGCGCCGGGAGAAGACACATTGTTGGATGACATTTGTCACAATATTTTTGAGGATTTTCTATTGTTGCATTGTTTGTTTTTTACTGACTTTATAATCTCGCACTTTTAGTGCCGGTACTTTTGCTCTCATTTGACAGTCGTTAAAAATAATCAGGGATTAGAATGTGCTTTAACCACATCATACTTATAGACCTTGGCCCATGCAAAACTTTGACAACGTATCAAATTCGTTAATCGAGAACAAAAGTATCGGCCCTTAACCTACCTTTGTTTGGTGTTATTAAGGTCCTTCTGCATTGACTCATTTGTTATTTTCTCGAGCAAGTTCACCTATTTTTCCATTCTTGTAATTCATTAATTATGTATTCTTTTATGGGACTCTGTACCATATCCATAATGCCTATATTTGTAATCCACATGCTGAAATTCGAAAGCATCAGAAATGTGTATTTTCAACTGGTAATTGATTGTTATAAATCAAGCTTCAATTCATAAAAAGTTGAACTCAAAATTGCAGATATTTAACATTGGTGCTTTGAGGTTTAAGGAATTAAGACACAAATTGAGAATAAGCTCTTCAATTTGTTTTATTATTGATAATTTTCAATTTTACTCGCAATTTTACCAAAAATAGGAAAAATCCACAACAATCTCATACCCATATGCTGCCTAATTAAATACTGATAACATAATTCCATTATTTTGATTTCAAAAACCCCATTAAATGTTAATTTACTCAGAACATTCCTTTTATATACAGGTAGTTATATCTTCTTCTATAGTTCCTCAACATTCTGTCAACAAAGTCCGTGGAATCATATTTGTTTGAGTACTGTTTGTGAAAAAGCTGCCCCTGTCAAGTTTTTTTTTAGCAACTTACATGAGAAAAGTGACAGGGCGTCTCTGTCCATGAGTGTGGCTTTCATAGGTACCTCGTTGTTGCGAAAATGTCCTCTTTCTTTCTTAGACTATTTGCTAAACAACAAACTTGACTAATGACACACTAAGCTACTTGACGCAGTGATATTTGACCAGTAGGTATCTTAATTAAACTAGGATTTTGGATTCAGCAGCTTTTGTTGACAGAATGGTGAAGAACTACAGCACGTTTTACTCTGTGATATTTTTAATACCTTCCTTGACACAGATTAGAAACCATTACTTTTACCTCGACTTTTACTAAATTGACATTGTAGATATTTCTCGATTTTGTTCTTTTTCTCTTTATATCTTTCAACATTTGCCTTATTGATGGTGAATGGTGATATCAACTAAACTTGGTAGGGTTGATATTCTAACCAAACTCCAGGTCATTCTCGTGTTTTGTGTGTTATTTATGTTTAAAAAGAGGAAATAGCTATTTACCTAACAAGTGTGGAAAAATTCATAAGAATTTTTCCGCACGCGTAGCGGAGTTCGGTGATGCAGCCGAGAGCGGAAATTTTTTTTCCGTCTGTGTTAGGTACAATATTTTTCCTACAGGCATAAAAATGTAGAATTTTTAATTTTTTTTCCTACGAGCGTGCGCAAAGTAGTACTTTTCCGCACGCATTTCGGTTCTCAAAGTTGCACTTTTCCGCACTCAGTGCGGATACAGGCCTTATCCGCACTGAGTGCCGAAAAGTAAAAATAATTGTCAAGCAACAATAAGTACACCTGTCGACTTTGACACATGATGACAAATTTTTCCTCTGTTCCTGTTCCAGCTAACATCTATACCTACAAACACCAAATTTAATTAACTTCAACACATTGTCAGATTTGTTTTCTATATATATGCATCTACAAACTTTCTCATCAAATTTATAGCATTTTCCATTTGTCGAAACAGGGCAAAAAAATGTATCCTTATCCTTACATGTTACATGCTTTTAGAAAAAGATGCGGATGCACTCAGTGCGGCACTGATGACAAATGGAAATCGCCATTAAACGCTTTAAGATGAAGAGCTCTGACGATGATTTTCTGTTATATTTTTTTTTTGTTATGTAATTTTTTGATAAATGCATAACCTATGCCCTTCAAGTTAATTAAAAATAATTAAACAAATTATCGTTTTTTTTTTAAATTTTTGTTGTTACCTACCTGATATGAAGCTCGTAGGAAAAATTTTGTTCCTAACACGTGCGCAAAGTGTCTTTTCCGCACGCAAACACGTATCCGAACTCCGCTTCGCGTCGTTCGTATAACTGTGTTTGCGTGCGGAAAAGTAACACTTTGCGCACTTGTTAGGAAAATAACTATTTTGACAGCCGTGCGGTAAATTTTTTCGCACTGATATGCGTGCGGTAAAAGTCATCACCGTGCGGGAAAACTCATTTTTCGCACGGATATCAGTGCGTAAAATTGATTTTTCCGCACGGCTATAGGAAATAGTTATTTTCCTAACAAGTGCGCAAAGTGTTACTTTTCCGCACGCAAACACAGTTATACGAACGAGCTTCATATCAGGTAGGTAATAACAAAAATTAAAAAAAAAAAAACGATAATTTGTTTAATTATTTTTCCTACAGCCGTGCGGAAAAATCGATTTTCCGCACTGATATGCGTGCGGAAAATGAGTTTTCCCGCATGGTGCGGTAAAACTTTTTTTTTTGACATCAGTGCGGAAAAAGTTTTTCCGCACGGCTGTCAGTGCGGAAAAAAATTTACCGCACTGATATGTTAAAAAAAAAAGAAAAATTTTACATTTTTTCGCCTGTAGGAAAAATATTGTACCTAACACTTGCGGAAAAATTCATTTTCCGCACTTGCTAGGTAAATAGCTATTTAATTAACTTGAAGGGAACCTATGCATTTATCAAAAAATTACATAACAAAAAAAAATAACAGAAAATCCTCGTCAGAGCTGTTCATCTTAAAGTGTTTAAATTTGATGAGAAAGTTTGTAGATTTTTGCATATAAATAGAGAACAAATCTGACAATGTGTCAAAGTTAATTTATAATTGGTGTTTGTATAGATGTTGGCTGATATAGAAATCGAGGAAAAATTTGTCATTATGTGTCAAAGTCGATAGGTGCACTTATTGTTGCTTGACAATTATAATTACTTTTCGGCACTCAGTGCGGATAAGGCCTGTATCCGCACTGAGTGCGGAAAAGTGTAACTTTGAGCCCGGAAATGCGCGCGGAAAGGTACTACTTTGCGCACGCTCATAGGAAAAAACTGTTTTGCAAGCTACCACAATAAATAAAAAATAGAAACCTCTCTTTTATTACATAAACTACCAGTTCTAAAATAGTTTCGATATGAGCCGTAAAGTCATAATGTATTCATTTGAATACATCATCAAACTCAAAAACCAGCCAACCAAAAAATTTCGCCGTAGGTTTAAAAATCATAAAAAAAATAACTTAGTTACTGTACCAAATATCGGAATTTTCCCATGCACACAAAAAAGTCGTGACTGAAAGGGTTAAAGAACAATGTGTACAGGGTTATCCAACGAAAGTGCTTTCTACCTTATATACCTGTTAATTGAAGAGGTACAAAAAAATGTTAAATAAGTATAAAAGTTGTTGGGATTCTTATGAGGAATTAGGAGCATTTATTTAAAAAAAATGGAAAGGCGGGTTTACAAAATATAGCAAGAAATTTAACATTTCTTGCTTAATTTAAATGGAATGATCCATTTTAGAATATGTTTTTGGATTCCACATTCTATTTGAGCCCTGATATATGTTACATGTCCTATAGTTAAATGTAGCAATTTTGGAGATATTACTAATTAATGATTTTTAAAAATAAATTACGAAAAAAATGATATTTCATCGTTGGAAGCTGGTAAGAGTAGTAGGTTCTAGGGATGTACCGGATCGGGTATTTGGCCGATCCGGCCGGACCGCACCGCCGGATCGACAGTTTTCTGCAATTTAATAATAATTTGAAAGGGCGCATTCTTTTTTTACTGGCGAACCTACAGATGAGCAGTCTATCTCTTTCTAGTACATAGGAAATCAAGATGACTTACTCATAATGGAGAATAGCTCGATGGAAAAAAAGAAAGCAGCGCCTGAAGTTTGGTTATGTTTGAGTCTGGCTGCTTCCTTCAAGTAAATTGGGGAATCCCCGAGTCTGACATCTGACTCAAACGCATGTGCATTTTTTTTTACTACCCAAGATGGCGTCCGAGACGGACGTTGTTCAAGATTGCTCTGACAAAAAGTGTTTTTACTGCTCAAAGAAAGTTAAAGGAAAAGTAAAATGTGTTCTGTGTGATGGTTTTTATCATAGTCAGTGCATTATAAAAAATCCCGGTGTGAAAATTGTGGGTATCAACGAAATAAACTGCACAAATTGCATCAATGAAGAAGATCTGACAGGCTTGACAACTGCCGATATTGTTAAATTGTGTTTTAAAAATAGTGGACTTTTAAACAACATCGTCTTCCAATTACAAGAAAATAACGACCTTCTTAGGGAGAAAGTTCATTTACTTGAGGAAAAACTGGAAAAATTTGAGGAAAAATTAGCTAAGCCGAAAATGCTAGAAGAGGTTAGGTTTATCTCCGCAGCCTCCGCCCCCGCAGGAACTTGCCCCACAAGTCAAA